AGCTTAACAAACCATAAGCAAGGCTGGAAAGTGTATTTCTATAATCAGAAACAGTATATAAACTTCTAGTACCATAATTAAATATATAAATGTATAAAGAGGAGCAGGGTTATTAGGGGGAATTCTAGCTCAAAAAACAAACAAAAAAAACCCATAATGTGAAGCAAAATTATTTACAATATGAATAAAGAATCAACAGAAAATCAGTCTCACAATATGTGAGAATATACAGCATGTCACATAAGGTGTACACATAAAAAGAGACTGTTAGTCAGAACAAAATAAAAACTTAAATTAAATATAATATATTAAGTATAGTACATACCCAGGTTCAAGATGTATCCCTTGGTGGGCACCTGATGGAGGCACCTACAGGAACCATTGCCGCTCTAGCTTCTCATTGAGACCATGAGGGGACTAATAGTCTCTCTAATAGTCTCTCTTTATGTGTACACTTTATGTGCATGAAAAGTGTTAAAATACCACCATTTAGGGGGGGCAGGGCCGGACCGCCATGCTAACCGGTTGCATGCAGGAGAGGCTCCTGAGCGATCGGGCCTCTTAAGCTACAAATGGCAGATTATTATGATGACCCAACAAGCCTACGAAATACCCACGGCTGTGGGAGAGGTAGCGGACCCCGAGATCGGGAGCTTTGGACTCCATAGTGGAAGAACGAAGCTTCGAGGACTGCGGCCTACTCGGGAGGGGAGCGAGGTGGACGGCCGCTGCCAGGCCTCCCCTCCCAGCTGCCACACGCCGATTGCCAGAGCAGCATCTAAACCCATTAGATTTTAGTTGTGTTGACTAAAATCTACTGGAGATTTAGTCGACTAAAACTAAAACAATTCAGATGACTATAATACCACTAAAACTAAAATGGCCTTTTAGTCAAAAGACTGACTAAAACTAAATTGGAATTTGCTGCCAAAATTAACACAATCTTTGAGAAGCTTTTTGGCCGGTACATTTGTTATATTTTTATTTTATTGGGTTATATTACCTCCTTCTCTTATACTTATTAGATGAATAAGGGTAACTAGAGACAATATATATTGGGGGTTGGGAAGCTGTTGTTTGTAGGCTAAGGGTTTGTGGACCCCTAGTCAACAGGGGTGTGGATTGTGATTCACCCTGTTGAACTAGGGACAGGTGCAGCCCCTAATAAATATGTGTGGGTCATATTAGGGCATATAGTATGGGTACCTTCTGGCCCTATAGCTCTTAGGACAAGAGGACAGGGCATCCATTGATCTATTGATGACTGAGCTTGTGTTCATGTTCTTGATATATCTGTACATGTATAAAAACAATCTTTCATGTATATAGGGACACCCTCACTTAGAATAGGTCAGTATATTAACACCTACCTTTAGCTACTAATATGGATAATACATATGTGTACTCCAGCTATATGAATTTTGATATTTTATATATAGATGCTTGTGACAGAGCTCCCTGTAGTCCAGCTGGGTATCTCTGCCAAGGGTCCACTTCCTAGCTGTGGCTGGATAGGGGAACTAGCTCTATTCGCTCCCAGGGGCTGGACGGCACACAGACCCAGGAGTTTTAGTCCTTACAAGGACTTTCCCTGCTACATTCTCCACCAGCTGCGACAAGCTGGCACAGGGATTAACCCCTTCTTCCCCTCAGTAACTGGACAAGACCAAGTTCTGGAGGTTATAACACTGACAATCCTTTATTGCTACACACAGCTTTTATGCATAGACCCCTGCAGGGGGTCTCCATTCTTTCAATACAAGAGGGGGATGGGCTACAGAAAACCATCTCTCGCTCGGAGATACCAACAAGACACAGTTACACATTAAAACATATTACACACAGAGGAGGAACTTAAGGGCTCTGCACCCCAGGTAGGGAAGGGGTCACACATGTTAAACATATATCCCAGGATAGCGCCGGGTCCCAACTAGGGTCTCTGCAAATAGCGGGGCTATCAGATGTACAGAGCCCGAGAAATCATCATATAAAGTCTGGGGGCTCGAGGCTCTGTACAACCCCGCAATTAGTTCCACAGCATTGCCTGGTTTAGTCCAGCGAATGTAAATTTCGCGCCTAAACCAGGCAACAGCCAATCCAAAAAAAGGGCGCTAAACCAAATCACGCCAATCAGCGCTCAGAGAGGAGAGGAGTTTCACCGCCCAATCAGGAAGCATGAAATCACGATTGAAAGGGCGCTCCATCATGGATTGGTCACCTGCGTCCTGCAGCAACCAATCAACGCTCACTCATGCCGACCCTTCAGGAGTATGAAGCCAACCCAATTTGAATGGGAGCTCTTTCTCCTGATTGGTTGGCATGGACTTCCACCAACCTCAGGGACCCGTTCACCCCAATACCCTATTAGAACGTTCACAGCAATTAATCAGAGCGTTAGCATCTGCAACCTAGGTGTGAACCGCAAGGAAAGCAATTAATGAGCGCTCCCCTGGGTATCCCGATGAGATGCTTCCCTTGCGGGGTCTTCACACCCACAGTGTCCCCACCAACCTCAGGGACCCGTTCACCCCAATACCCCATTAGAACGTTCACAGCAATTAATCAGAACGTTAGCATCTGCAACCTAGGTGTGAACCGCAAGGAAAGCAATTAATGAGCGCTCCCCTGGGTATCCTGATGAGATGCTTCCCTTGCGGGGTCTTCACACCCACAGTGTCCCCACCAACCTCAGGGACCCGTTCATGGACTCCATTCACAGTTAAAATATCATGTAGAACTAAAAAAATAACAAATTTTCTTATTTTCTCCCACTTTTTTTACATTTTATTCATATTAAATTATGTTTCATAACTATATATTTGATTTTAAATGAAATCCCTGTTTCCCCTGAATAAAATGATATATAATAAGTGTGGGTGCACATATGAAAGAGGTAAATTACGGTTGAACAGACATATAGCACAAATACCAGGTTTTATTTACATCACAGCGTGTACATTTGGCTCAGTCTTAAGGGGTTAAACTAAAAAGAACTTCACCTATAGTCAGTTTTCACTTGGATTTCACATATAGTACAAGAGAGACAAATACACACGTAACAGGAAACCAAACGACCACATGCTATAGGTCAAGTAAAGAATTGTACGTGTCAATATACTTAACATGAGGGAAATGAGTAGACATTCTCAAAATCACCATTAGGATGAAAATATGGGGATTAACATCAGCATAACAATAGATCACAGGACACAACTACCCTGGGGTTTTTGCTAGAGGTGTCAGAAAAGAATGAAGGCCACAATACATCCACAAAATACCAGGTAACTATAATAATGTCATTGGTCAATCTGAAAGATGTTTTTATGAATTTTTTTAAGCCAGTCGTAGACTACAGGTAGCATTCACTAAGTGAGCTGTCAAAGGTGTGCAGTAAGATTTGATAGAGGAGATTAAATTATGAATATGGAAGCCATGAGGATACATGGGGGGGGAGAAAAGATGTGGAGGTTAGGTAGAAGATTGTTGCATATGTGCCATCAAAGCATTAAGAGACAATTTTACGAAATGAGAAGCAAGTTGGCAGTAGACTGACCACAGCATTTAGGAAGAAAAAATAATAAGTATGAAGACACATGAGAATGATCTGTCCTTTTCCCACAGGGTGTAGTGGGAACAATACAAGGAATTCACTGATCAAATTTGGTAGGAATGATGGAACCATAAAATAAATTGTGACAGAAAGGATGTGAACTTGTACATTGAGATCTATAAGATCTGTCTCATCTGTAAGCTAATGAGTATGTATGGATGTGTGAAATAGTGTAGTCTAAATTTTATGTTTGGGTATAAACCTTATGCGCAGAACTGATGGCCCCCTTTATTTAGGTGAACAGCTGTGTGGTTTACAGGCTGGAAAGTCACAATACATCGGCATGTTTATGACAAATTCAAATGTTGTAACTCAAGCTAGCATTTTTGCAATTCTAAATATACTGTAAAATGAGGTTTTCAATTTTGTGAAAAAGATGTGGTGGTAAAAAGTGGTAAAACAGTAAACACAGATGTATTGCAGAGTATTGCAGTATGCAATGATACCTATACTATTGGACTAACATAATATTTCAAAGACAAGCTTTCGAGAGTTCCCTCTCTTCCTCGGGTCTGAAGCAATACTAATCAAGCTGATAGCGTTTAACACTTAAAAAAAAATGATGTTAGAGAAGGGGAGGGAGGGATTGGGTGACATAAATTAGAGCTTCTGGCTTTAATACAGTAAGATTTTGCTATATTTATGGAGGCATGAGGGGCCCAGGGGGGCTAGATGGTGGTGTTAACACTATTGGGTCAGGAATACATGTTTGTGTTCCTGACCCTATAGTGATCCTTTAATGTAGACTCTGGCTTTCTCACACACTACCAAAACTTTTTATAAACACACATATTAATGTCTTATATTGTTCTGTTTCAATATTCTCATTTTACCTTTATTGGATCAATTGATATACATGCATATATGCAGCTATATACTTGCATGCCCTGCTCTTCTGTTTTCTTGTTTGGTTTTTTTTTTTTTGTTTGTTTTTTTTAACTAGTTTGTTGACTCTTCTCTGTTTATTTTACTTTTTTCTGGCTATTTTCAACCAACCTGCACCTTTCACTTTCTGGCACATCCATTGTTATTTACGGCCCCCAACCGCCGCTCAGGGATGGGGGCCGGGGGGAGGTCAATAGGTCCCCCCCACATTCTCACTTAGGGCCTCCACCCACCGTTCAGGGGTGGGGGCCGGGGGGAGGACATTGTTATTTAGGGCCCCCACCCAACGCTCAGGGGTGTGGGCTGGGGGTGGGGGGGAATTCTAGGTGATTGGATGATATGACTAGTTTGGGGTATGACTCTATGGTAATTATAACTTGGTAGGTGGTTGGATGGCAATAAGTGCAAAGTGGATGAGTGTACGTGAAATGTTTTGTGGCCAATTGTGTGAATGTGACAGGGTGAGTGGGTATGACTGGGAGGTGTGGTGGGACTAGTTAACTAGGTGAACATGATCAGTTTGGAGTATGTGGCTGGTATTACACATTTGTGTAATGTTTTAGTGTGCATATAAAGTTATTTAGTGTGCATGTATAGGTGTGTTTGTGCACTGTGTTTCCAATTCCCATCTGCCACCCTTTATCTTTCTCCATCCTCCTCCATGAATCTCTGCCTCACATGTGTACCTCTCCCCCCTTTCCCCAACAATCCCCCCTCACCGCATTACCTTTCCTTTCTCCAATCGTTTCACTCTTCTTGTCCCCCTTCCCTCACTTGTAACGGAATACAACTATATAATCTTTTTAAACTGATTAGTATTTTAATGAGAATGTGTTATAATATTTGGCATCTTTGAAAAATAGCACAATCAATAATAATCAAAAGGTCTGTTTCATTTTAAAGAAATAAATATATGTAAAAAGCAGGTTTATTGGACAAAGTACAAGCAACATTTCGACCCCAAGCTAAGGGTCGAAACTTTGCTTGTACTTTGCTCCAATACACCTGTGTTGTTGATTACACCTTGTGTGCCTGGACCACTGTCTACTTTCTAAACTACAGAGTGCGGTTTGGCCTGCCTCAGGTCCAGTCGCACCTTGGAGTCCAAGAAAGTGTGGTGCCGCTTGTACTATTGAAAATCAGAGTATGGCGTGTTTTACTTTTACTGCCCTTGAAATTCTGCACGTTGCAGCAAACTTGGGACTGGTCACTGACCATATTTACAATTCCAGCTGCATTATGATTTGCTCAAATTGTCATTAGAGAGCTGGTATAAGGGGCAATTGACCCCCGGACCAATAGCCTACAAAGATTATGGACTGCAGCCTCAGAGCACCATTCTTCTACTTACTAAAAGGTATCTGCACAATTTGTGTGTAAGTTTGAACTTTATTCCAAGGCCAAATGCATCCAGTACTTCCTAAAGCAATGCAGACCTGTTTATACAAAGTATAATAAAGTGAGATTCTCTCTGTGTGATTTTTTCCCCCACGTATTCTAAAAATAGCATGTAAAAAGTAAGCAAATATAAAAATCATGTAACTGTCAACATAATATGTGAACATGCAATATATGTGCTAGTCAGATTCACTATTTTCCAGTTTGAAGTGGCTCTTGATTATCAGGTTTTCATTGTACGTTATGTGAAGAGAACTTATCTTCTTATCTATGGTTCTTCATATATAAAACTCTTAAAGGAACACTACAAAGTTAGGAATGCAAACCTGTATTCATAACGCTGTAGTGCCCCTGTCCTTAGCGCTACACTGGTCCCGCCCCTCTTTATTTTTGAAAAAATAAAATATTAGTTTACCTTTCTCCAATGCCAAGGCTGCTTACCTCTCCACCGTCCACAAAATCACGAAGAAGCCATAGTCTTCAGCACTATGTGCAGTGGAAGGACATCTAGTGCCTGTCATACTGCCAACCATTAGAGGAGCACTATACCCTGTAATGCAAATGTCGCAGTTTCTAAAAAAAAAAAAAATTTCATAATGCAATATTTTACTTACTACAGGGTTAGAAGTACAGGACCACTGCACCCAGACTATTTCATTGAGGGGAAGTGGTCTGGGCGACTATAGTGTCCCTTTAATTTGTTGTCAACATATATGAGAGAAAGGAAATATACATCATAAAAGGTAAAATTGCTTACATACTTGTGCTAGACCTGACATAACCTGTTGTTTAGTATGTTGGTGGCTACACTCTGATTTGTTTCTATATTTGTTTGCATTCCATGTTAAAGGACCACTATAGTGCCAGGAAAACATACTTGTTTTCCTGGCACTATAGTGCCCTGAGGGTGCCCCCACCCTCGGGGTCCCCCTCCTGCCCGGCTCTGGGGAGAGGAAAGGGGTTAAAACTTACCTTTTTTCAGCGCTGGGCGGGGAGCTCTCCTCCTCCGATCCTCCTCGGGCTGAATGCGCACGCGCGACAAGAGCTGCGCGCGCATTCAGCCGGTCTCATAGGAAAGCATTTACAATGCTTTCCTATGGACGCTTGCGTGCTCTCACTGTGATTTTCACAGTGAGAATCACACAAGCGCCTCTAGTGGCTGTCAATGAGACAGCCACTAGAGGAATTGTAGGAAGGATTAACCCATTTACAAACATAGCAGTTTCTCTGAAACTGCTATGTTTATAAAAAAAATGGGTTAACCCTAGCTGGACCTGGCACCCAGACTACTTCATTAAGCTGAAGTGGTCTGGGTGCCTAGAGTGGTCCTTTAATGATACATCAGAATATGGAATCACACTGTAAATAAATTGAATATATAAGGTATTGTTTTATTTGCTGTACATGTATTGCAGAGGTAGTGCACAGAAGTGTTTGAATTGTGATATGAGAAGCACTTGTTTAACACTTTTTTTTTAGGCAGACAATAGTAGAATACAGGGCCGCCATCAGAAATTTTGGAGCCCCTGACAAAGCACAAGGTCTGGGCCCCCCCTCCCTCCCTCCCGGGCCCGCCCACGCCCACGCCCTACCTGGTCCGCTGACAATGATGAAGGACTGCATGTGGTGTGTATAGTGGAAGTGAATTAGAATATATGTAATGGATGTAGTGTTTGTGTGTATTAGATACTGTTTGTACAGTGAATGCAGAGTGTGTGTTTGTGTAGCGGATGCAGTGTGTATAGTGAACGCAGAGTGTGTTTGAGTAGTGGATATAGTGTGTGTACAGTGATGTAGTGTGTGTTTGTGTAGTGGATGTAGTGTTTGCATGTACTAGATGAAATGTGTTTAGTGGGTGCAGTGTCTGTAGTGGATGTAGTGCGTGTATTAGACGCAGTGTCTGTGTATTGTGAATGCAGAGTGTTTCAATGTGTGGTGGATGTAGTGTGTGTACTGTGAATACAGGATGTTTGTGTAGTGGATGCTGTGTGTACAGTTAATGCAGAGTGTATGTTAGTGTAGTGAATGCAGAGTGTGTGTCAGTATAGTGAAGCCAGAGTGTATGCATAGTTTAGTGAATGCAGAGTGTGTGTTAGTATGTAGTGAATGCAGAGTGTGTCAGTGTAATGAATGTAGTGTGTGTGTTAGGGCAGTGAATGCAGAGTGTGTGTTAATGTGTAGTGAATGCAGAGTGTGTGTTAGTGTAGTGAATGCAGAATGTGTTACTGTGTAGTGAATGAAGAGAGTGTGTTAGTGTGTAGCTAATGCAGAGTGTGTTAGTGTAGTGAATGCAGAGAGTGTGTTAATGTGTAGTGAATGCAGAGAGTGTGTTTGTGTGTAGCGGATGCAGAGTGTGTGTTAGTGTAGTGAATGCAGAGAGTGTGTTAGTGTGTAGCGGATGCAGAGTGTGTGTGTTAGTATAGTGAATGCAGAGTGTGTTAATGTGTAGTGAATGCAGAGAGTGGGTTAGTGTGTAGCGGATGTAGAGTGTGTGTTAGTGTAGTGAATGCAGAGTGTTAATGTGTAGTGAATGCAGAGAGTGTGTTAGTGTGTAGCGGATGCAGAGTGTGTGTTAGTGTAGCGGATGCAGAGTGTGTGTTAGTGTAGTGAATGCAGAGTGTGTGTCAGTGTAGTGGATGCAGTGAGTGTGTTAGTGTGTAGTGTATGCAGAGTGTATGTTGTATTAGTGTTTGCAGTGTGTGTGTTGTATTAGTGTATGTAGTGTGTGTGTTAGTGTATGCAGAGTGTGTTGTATTAGTGTATGCAGTGTGTGGGTTGTGTTAGTGTATGTAGAGTGTGTGTTGTGTTAGTGTATGCAGAGTGTGTGTTGTGTTAGTGTATGCAGCGTATGTGTTGTATTAGTGTATGCAGAGTGTGTGTTGTGTTAGTGTATGCAGAGTGTGTGTTGTGTTAGTGTATGCAGTGTGTGTGTTTTGTTAGTGTATGCAGTGTGTGTGTTGTGTTAGTGTATGCAGTGTGTGTGTGTTGTGTTAGTGTATGCAGTGTGTGTTGTGTTAGTGTATGCAGTGTGTGTGTTTTGTTAGTGTATGCAGTGTGTGTGTGTGTTGTATTGGTGTATGCAGTGTGTGTTTGTTGTGTTAGTGTATGCAGTGTGTGTGTTTTGTTAGTGTATGCAGTGTGTGTGTGTGTTGTATTGGTGTATGCAGTGTGTGTTGGGTTAGTGTATGCAGTGTGTGTGTTGTGTGTGTGTTGTGTTAGTGTATGCAGTGTGTGTTGTGTTAGTGTATGCAGTGTGTGTGTTGTGTTAGTGTATGCAGTGTGTGTGTTGTGTTAGTGTATGCAGAATGTGTTGTGGTAGTGTATGCAGAGTGTGTTGTGTTAGTGTATGCAGTGTGTGTGTTGTGTTAGTGTATGCACTATGTATGTTTTGTTAGTGTATGCAGTGTGTGTGTTGTGTTAGTGTATGCAGTGTGTGTGTGTTGTGTTAGTGTATGCAGTGTGTGTTGTGTATATGTGCAATCTGGGGGGGAGGGGGAGGAAGGGGCATTTTAACATTAATTTTTAATTAATTTAATTAAATGTTTCTCCCCCCTCCCTGCTTACCTGTATCCAGGGAGGGGGGAGATTCCATCTGTGGTGGCCTGGTGGCATGGGGGCCCCCCCGGCTCCCTGTTACCGTCCGCAGAGGGGGCCCAGGCAGCACACAGCTTCTCCTCTTCTAATAACTCTCGCGAGACCCGCAGAGAGCTGCCATGGTAAGCGGGTCTCGCGAGAGTTATTAGAAGAAAGAAGAGAAGAGGAGAAGCAGTGTGCTGCCTGGGCCCCCTCTGCGGTAACAGGGAGCCGGGGGCCCGCGGCTGCAGACATAGATAGCGATATTCGCTATCTATGTGTGCAGAGAAAGAAAGTGGGGCCCAGGACTGCCAGAGCAGTCCGGGCTCCCCAGGGCCGCCGGGCCCGTGACAACAGTCAGGGTCGTCACCCCCTGATGGCGGCCCTGGTAGAATCACTAATTTGTTTTACTAATCACTAAACATTTCTCCCATACAAATCTATTAGCTGAGAGGGGCGTTGAGTGAAAATGTCCATCAGGGCACCTGCACTGATATGTGAGTGGCATATCAGCACAAGTGAGCATATTGGCTGCTCTCACAAGCACTTTGTCCGCCATGGTCAGCCACACGTGCATATTCACAATCCATCTGTGAATGTTAGTGATGCTCTCATGCTGCCTTGAGCTCATTGATGTGTTTGCCTTGTCGTACCCGGGAAGAGGGACCTCAGAGAAATTACTTAGGATAGAGGTAAATGAGTCCCAAACAGGGACTTTATTTCCATATCGGTGACACTTGGCAGGAATGCATAAGTTTGAGCTAGTGTTATCTAGCTTTCTAAAAATATAAGGTCAACTAAAAGAATGATATATTAATTGATCCTCTATCCTAGGTGTATGTATGCCAAGTAATCCCTCTTTAACATTTTAATGGTTTGTCATAAAGATTGTACCAACTATGTATTAGTCATATTGATTATTTTTGCTATACTAGCAAGGTTATCTTGTGCATGGTGAGAAAATTTTCGTTTCGGTTCCTTTTTCGTTTCAGGGAAACCAATACCACCAAAGCAAAAAATATTAGTGTACTGCAAAATAAATCCATAATATACATTATTTATATATTTTACAGTACACTCATAGGGGCATTTTTGCATCATTTTGGATCGACTAAATCATTTTCCACAAAAATATGGAGGAACCAAAGTGCGACATGGACTCAATTAGTCAAAACCAAAATATTGCATGGACAAAATTCAGTCCATCCAAATCCAACAGTTTTTTTCTAGATGGATCAATTTGAACGAATGCATACATTCTATTAAAGTTGTGGTTAAATTATTCATTAATGAGAGCACAATCTCTACTTCTGTGATACCTAGCCATCCATGCTTTAATTTTACAGATGATTAAACCAGATTAAACATTTCATGTATTCACCTGTTTATTGAATTATCCACACCATAATGGGATTTTCTGCCCTGTATTTCCTTTTATATTTTTTACGTTACTGTGAAATCGTGGCAATTATGATCTTAAGTAGACTTGTGTATTCAGCTTAAACTGAATCACAGTTTGTCTGAATTCCACAACTACAAATAACCATATGGCCAAATTACAAAACAAGTGAAAATGCAATTGGTGAGCTGTTTTATTTGGTTAATGATTTGGAGATCCATCCATGACTCCCCCCAAAAAGAAACTGATCAATGGTTAGGGGACAGTCACTTAATGTTTATTTTATTTACAGATCAAGCGAGAAGTGACCTTGAAAAGAAGTAGAATAGGTAATATAATATAGCAATACCCAGTGACTATAACATCTGGAAGAAGGGACACCTTTTAATTATTGAAGTCAGGCGTATTAATCAGACCCATTGCCGCAGGTGTAGTAAGTCAAGCACTTAGTCATGCAGTTTGCATTCACAAATAGTGATGTCCCGAACGGTTCGCCGCGGACTCCAGTCAGCAGACACATTCCAGCCAATCAGCAGCAGACCCTCCCTCCCAGACCCTCCCACCTCCCGGACAGCATCCATTTTGAAGCTGCATTCTTAGTGAGCTGTCCGGGAGGTGGGAGGGTCTGGGAGGGAGGGTCTGCTGCTGATTGGCTGGAATGTGTCTGCTGACTGGAGTCCGCGGCGAACCATTCGTGGCGAACCGTGGCAAACCGTTCGGCGAACAGTTCGGGACATCGCTATTCACAAACATTTTGGGGGAAAATGGGTCATTCTAAAGACACACCAAACACAGGCAACCACCCCGAAAACCTTATTAAACAGGTTGTAAGCGCAAAGCCTATGTACTCTCTATATGTTACTAAATACCAAACTGGATGAACACCAGACCCCTTGTAAAAGAGGAAATTCAGTAACAGATTTGACATGCATTGTTGAGGAAGCTCAGTAGCAAATTTTTGTTGGAGGTTTGGTGGTTGTCTGAAGGCCAAAATGGGTGTTTCAGGGAAATGTTTTTAGAGTCTCATCTTCTGTTAATATTGGTTGCAGGTCTTTAACCCCTTAAGGACCAAACTTCTGGAATAAAAGGGAATCATGGCATGTCACACATGTCATGTGTCCTTAAGGGGTTAATGATTTTCTGTATTTCCTCAAGAGCTGAGTTGTAAGTGACACAAGTGGAACTCGTGTAGCAGGCGCGTGCGTGGAGTTTTTACAGCAGAGTTGATTTGTTTGGTAATAGTCTAACATTTTCTCTGAAACACCCTTTTTGGCCTTCAGACAACCACCAAACCTCCAATAAAAATTAATCAACAGGAAGCTGCCCACTGATGGGAAGAATAAAGACAACGGGATCAGTCAATGCAAAAAACCTTGCTGCAAACTGTGTCAGCACATATGCACAGACAACACAGCCACACGCAACAATAAAACCTACAGCATTAGAGGAGCATACTCCTGCACATCCAGCAATGTGGTATACATGATACAATGCACCAAATACCATCTAGGATGCTACATTGGGGTCGGGGAAACCAACCTGCAATTAAATGGCAAGATTAATTTGCACAGACACTCCATTAAACACCACAAAGAAAGATCGTACTGCACTCATGTGGGACACCATTTTACCCAGCCTGGCCACTCAATGAAGGACCTAAAAATCAAAGTACTGAAAGGGGTTTTTAAAAATACCCAAGAAAGAAAAACTTTTGGAGCCAGAATGATCAAATTGTTTAACAGCAAGAATAGAGGACTAAATATTGATTTGGGTTTCCTGTCCCACTACCAACACTTTACATGAACACTCCGCCACATTATCTTACTGTTCTGTCATATGCATCAACACTTTAAAACACATTCCAATATGTTTATTCTATCAATATATAAAGTACTATGTGTAGACCTATGCTACCCCATACTCTTATGCACCTATGCTTATTTATGTGACTGTGCATTTATATTTGTGTATATGAGTTCATGTGCATGTATGTATATGTGTTTATGTGTATGTATATGTGTTCATGTGCTTATGCGTTCGCACATACATGTCTATGTGTATGTGTGTGTATGTATAAAGTGTGCCATCTTCTGCACTGTCTGCTTGGTTTTTTTCTCCCTCTCTCCCCTCACTCTGCTCTTCAGAAAGATATTTATGACCCTCTGCAAGAATGTTGTCTATGTTCTAACAATCCTGTGTCTTATCTGCACTGTCGCTTTAATCCCTGTATCAAAACTCAATTTTGAATTCTATGTGTTGCCATGCTCAGAAATGCTACAAATGTGAGAAAGGGAGGTTCTCCAAAAAGCTTGTCATTAAAAAATTATGTTAGTCAATAAAAAAGGTATTACAAGATACAAATATTAGCTGTTTTTTACATCTGTAATATATACATATTTACTCAGTAAATGTGATTATATATTTTTCCCAAGGTATTTTT